TGACGCTGCTTGAAGCGCGTCCACCATAGACTTTGTATGTAAACCTGATGCTCCTGATGCTGAAATCGCGTTTGGTGTGAACGCACCATTAGATGTTCATGTTTGACTTTTTCATTTAACTCGATATCTATTTCCACACTGCAGGGTTTGGATTGACTTGAAGTGGTTTTGTTTTCACTTTAGGAGATCAGAAAGTGAACGGAGAGCTGCTTCTGGCCCCTGGCCTTTATTCTGTCAATCCTGGGCAATTTCAATCGACTTCTCCAGTCAATTAAAATCAGATTATCGAGGTCCCGCTCTAATTGTATTTGGTTTAAAGTGGATTCGATTAAGACTATTTGGTTTAGAAGACCTATTTTATTTGAGCGAACTAGAAAAACCTTTATTGACACACACTGACAGGAGGTGGCTTTAATTAAACTATGCATCCATTACCTCTGTCGCTCTCACGTTTACCTGAAATAATCACAGCCGGAGGGTCTCACCTTCTGCAGCAGGTCCCCCCAGCTGTTCTTCTGGTACGAGGACACGGTGATGTGCAGAGAGTGTGCGTCCGGTAGGCAGTTGCCCTGATGGATGAATCCTCGAGGGAAGTAAAGGAGATCCCCAGCTTCCAGCACCAAATCCAGGATCGGCTTCCCGATTTCTGACTGCTCAAAGTTTGCTGGAGAGGAACGACAACCAATCACTGTTTAACAGGCTTACAAAAGAAAAAAAAAACTGCACACTGAAAATCTTTTTTAAAGTTGCTCTGCGTCGATTTACTTTTCTTTTTTTGCGTCTGTTAGAAAACTGCTCATAAAAAACCCTGTTTTTCATTAAACTGGTATAAAATATTTAATTTTTTTTTTTTACTTACGACTTGAAAGTACAGGCAAGTGTTCATCTTCTGACCTAAAATACATGGAAAAAAAACATAAGTTTATTTTTTGATTTTACAGCAATATTTTTGATGGTTGAATATATAAGGCACAAAGAACCTACATTTAAAACAAGTCAATTATCACTATAATTCTTGGAAAATAATCCCAAATGTATCTAAATTTTACATAAGATTTAGTAATAATCTTAATTTAGTATTATTTTAAACAGGTTAAATCAGCCTAAGAACACAAAGTATTCGAGGAAAAACAACACGCATACAAAAAAGACACACAGACAGGTTCAAAAGTAGAAACTAAAGATTACAATAATAAAATAACTTTGCATACAAGTTAGTACCTGAGTAAATAAAGAGCACGCATCACTTTATAAAAGGAGCACGCAGAAGTAAACATTTAATCGTAGCCCTTATCTATATTATTTCTTACAAAGTGTAATATCTTCATAATGTATTAGTTGTGTGTAAATAATATCTAGATATGGTATTTATATATATTTCTATACAAGGAAAAAGAAATGGTCTGTATTCACACATTCCTACAGTTTAAAGAACGTTAAATTTAAAACTTTTTAATCGCTAGTGAAATTAAATTTAAGACCTATTTCATAATAAACCCAAATGACAAAAATAAAAATTAAAAACGGGCAAAAACTCATGAATCAAAGCATTTTTGGTTGAAGTATTCAAATAGACCAATTGTTTTTATCCATATCAAACTATAACAGTCAGTTTTAAACTAAATTTATTTTCAGGAAATCCTCTAACGACTCAAAGTTTGGAGTTTCAGGACCCACAGTCGGGTCTCAACCCCAATTTGCTGTAGATGAAACCCAAAAGTGCCTGTGACATCAAATTTTTTGTAAGAAAAGTGAATACATTGTTGGAAAGACAACATTAACAAATTACAAAACTAATTTCTTGTTGCTCAGATGAACAGTTGTTGAGATATTTGCAGGTAAAATAACAGGAAGTGATGTCAAGGGGGAATGTCTGCATGTGAATATTTYAAAAAATAAATGTTACCAATTATTTTAATAATGGAGATGAATTACAACAATCCTATTTAAAATGTGTTAACATTTTTAAGACTTCAGAAAGATTGATTTAAGACATTTTAAGGCTAATTAAGGCCTTATTTTTGGATCAATGAATTCAACGACTTAAGACTTTTTAAGGATCTGCAGTAATTGCTGACAAAATAATTTCATTATTAATAGCAATA